TGCCACACTAACTAATGCCAATGTTCGATGACTTTATAAATCCAGTTTCACAATATGGCAAGTATTCATGGAACTTCGAAGACTACAAAGGAATCCGAAAGGATGAAAGCCGATGGTGTTTTTCTATCTGTTTAAACTACTGCTACTGACGCAAATCAGCGTGAGGTGAGAACCCCAAGAGCGACCATACATTGCTGGTGTAGCTGACTCCCTTTATCATCACATTCATCACTTCAAATCACAGAAGCTAGGCCGTTGATTTACTAAAGCGCATAATAGGTTATTGTCTTCACCGTCATCATCAGCGTACAACGAAACACGGTTAAGCGAACTCATCGCCACTAAGCTTCCAATGTGTGCAAAGTACGATCGTGTACGGTAGACGGACAGTGGGCCTGTTTTGAAGAAAAGAAATTGGCCAACAATTAACTGGAGGCAGAAGCGCTGCAAAAAAGAAGACAATTGCTTGAGATTGTTCCACTGGAAAACCGATATTATCACTGTAACTTTATGATCCACGGCAGGTACCAATTTTCCCATTTAAAATGCACATAATGACCTAGTTTCACAGTCGTATGCCAGAACACAGGGGACAGTGAGCGCGAAGTATACATTTATATTTTGCACATGTCTGAGGCCAGACTTTGTGCCAAACAAATTATGATACAACAATATTTATAAAAGAAAGATGTCTCATGATTTGCATGTGGGCCGAATACTGAAAGGTTGCCCAGGTCAAGGCAGGTGAATTTTCATGGGGAATCCACAACCGGAGCCTTCGGTTAGCCAAAGCCTGACCCGTAAGTCAGCAGGGCGGTGTGAAAACCGCAGTCCATTGGGAGTCGGTGTCCAATTCATCGGATCATTCGCCCTTCGGACGGGGTCAAATGTTCAAAGTGCCCAATACACCTCAATGCCCAATCGAGCCGGTGACTACTGCCATAACCGAAAGAGTGTGTGTGAGTCGTACGCCTCCTCTTGTTTGGTTTGGAATCAGGATTTTTGGCCAACTCCTCTAAGTGAAATGCTGGGGTTCACCAACCGGGTTATAGCCCCGGATGTTGACTTTTCGTCCTCTCACTTTAGTGGGAAAACACCTGCGCCACGAAAACGGCCGTGAGTAGGGCTAACTCAGCAGAGGCTGTTTGAGACGCTTGGTCTAATGGGAGCATTTCGCGAGGTGGAAGGGAAGGGTGACCTTTGCGAAGTATTCCAATCTCAACACGCAGGCTGAGAATCAAGCTGGTTTTAGACCTGGTCGAGGACGTATGGACCACAGTTACACTCTTCGCCAAACTCTGGAGCACATTGTTTTCGTGGACCCACCATATCTTCCTCGATTTAGAGGCGGCCTTCGACTCAGTCGACTGCTATAAACTCTGGCGTTGCCTTATCCTTAAAGGTGTGCCCGACAATATTATTTCGGTATTGCTTCGATGGTTTCGGGAGTGGCCCCGAAGACAAAGTAGCTTGCGAATTCCAGGTTCACTATCCCCGTGTCGGAGATCAGTAGTACTCCAGGACAACTTCTGAATACATTTCGAATCACCAGGTCAACGTACATGAAGAGAATGAGTGAAAGTGGATAACCTTGATGAGTTATTATGATAATTTATTCAACCCGCTCTACTCCGAGACCCCGTTAGGTTGAGGCGGGTTTGATTACGGCTGGCGACTATGAAGCGGTTTAGGAGCAGCATCGTAAGCTTCGCGGTGACTAGGTCATTAAAAATGAATTCCTCAGTATCACTCTCATACCGTTGTATCGTCCTTTTGGGGACTAGGAAGAGCGATTCATATAACGCAGTCCGTGGGAACTGATTCCGATCATGAGACGGAAGCAAGTAGCATATCGAAACAGCCAAGTAGTCTGGCGACAGGCTTTATACATGTCCTTGAGGATACCACTATTTGCGAGAGCTTTTCGAAACCATCAGAGTTCGTTAGTCTACAAAATGCAACGGAATTCGTAGAGTCGCACATCGTTCCTCCAGCTGTCTACTGAATGTAAACCTTTTAAGGATCACTTAGTGTGCTTAGTGTGCGATGTGAATAATTCAACTGTAGGAGCACACACAACATGGGATGGAAGAGGATTCCGTACACCGCACACCTTAACTACAAATCAGTGATGCCGGCAATCTAGAAGATTGTTCTGGATTCCCGACTTCAATGGATGTCCCGTGAGATGATTATTTTTCGAGCAAATGCTTTGGAGAAGTACAAATAAACTATACCCATTGTCTCACCTGCATCGACGGATTTTGTTCACTCATCTGGTTCAGGAAGTAGATTTATGGTGCAGGAACGTTTGTGCCGAAATCCTTGTTGAGCTGCGGACAAAATAACACACTTCTTCAGATACTCTATTAACAGATCTGCCACAATAGCCTCCGTAACTTTCGACAGTATCGGAAGAAGTGTAACGGAGCGGTAGTTGGCGGGATCACTGCGAGAGCCCCCTTTTTAAATGGGTGAAATCACCCCTTCCTTCCATGACTACGGAATCACCGCCTTGCTGAACATCCTTTAGTAAAAAGCAACCTGAGGTTCAGATATGGCATTAGCTAGTGAGATGAGAGTCCGAGGCTACATGTCTGCACATGGGGATGAATTCTTACGCAAATTTAGTCGTTTAGCTCGTATCATTTCACCGCCAAAAGCCATCTTAACTAGTGACGGATACGGTATACAGAATACTGAAGTATTACAGCGAATAACACTCTGGTTAATATGGGGATTAGCCTCAGCCGAGGGTGGCTTCCACGTCGTTGGGTGATTCACCCCGGGATGATGGGATACGTTGCTGGAAACAGATGCGCCGCAGTGAAGCAGTAATCGAATAGGGAGAAGCCCATCATGCCCGGTTGTCTTTCTCCCCTGCAGGGCTTGAATACAATTCAGCACTTCTAGTTGTCGTAAAACTCGACGTTTTCTGCATCAGAATTGCAGTTAGTGAGGGCACGCGCTGAGATGATAAAACAGAAATCCTTTGAAATTGCTTCATTTCCGAATACTAATTGAACCCCGAGGTCGCATCGTCCACCAGGGATTGTGATCACATTGGGTGTGGACGTTTTCTACCGGGAAGCACAATTCGTCATAGATCGGAATAAGGTGTTGGAATGATGTGGCTTTGAGGGATAGGATCCTATAGAAGTTAGCCAAACTAGAATGATACTTACAGACCGAACCAAACATGTACCAAACGCGCATAGTACGTCTGCGATTTCTGCGCAGCTTGGATGGACACCCACTTGGGGAACACGTATTATGAGATCGATCACAGCCGGAATGACGACGGTGACGGCCAATGGTTCAGCACTGACATGAAAACGAATTGCCAATGACTTTGAACAAAACAAGTCAAACAGGTGTGCAATGAAGTTCCCTATGCATAAGCACAGCAAGAACAGGGATTATCACGAGAATTGGATGGAAACCTCATTAGCTGTGTAGCGGAAGACAAAATCGATTGACGCCGCTGGACAACAACAACAACAACAAGTGGTTCAAGCATGAAGTGAAGAAAACCTACGCAGTTCCAAAAAAGATACTTTAAAGAAACACTTAGATAGCAGGTCGGATTTTCCTATCGAGAGGAACAACGCGAACAGGACGAAACGAAAGCGTGGTTGCAGCGTAAAGCAAAACAAACATGTTTACATCTCAGGCACAATAGAAGGGAATAGTGCAAATAAACGTGGGGAATTTGGTCACTTAAAGCAGCTAGTCGGTCAGTTATGTTGATGGGGGGGGACCAGGAAAGTAAACAGAAATAAACCAATAGCACTGATGAACGGGAAGCATATTAACGGCCAAATAAATGTGAATTTGGGTTCAGCATGTGTAGCCAATGGGATAGAAAACTTTCTGAAGCATCTGCCCACTAAAGGGGGCTTTCATCAAACTCGACCCTTTTATCGTTAAGTGAATGCATGTTGACTGAGTTCAACAACTTACAACAACGCCTTGTCACCGAACGCGGAACAAACTAATCGTTTTTCTGATCCATTCTATGATCAAGTGACATTTATCATACATTTATCACTGGCTTGCGAGCAAGCTTGGTACCAACGCAATAAAGAGAATAACAGAACATGGGGTGTGTGGGATAGAAAGCGGAGTAAAAGCGGGTTAGACAGCTAAGATGAATAAGGAGAGGTAAACATTTTATTCATGAAAGGAATGCGTGCCCCAAAATGAAATCGGTATATTTCATATTTGTCTGCGTTCAGTCTAACAGATCATGGTGCACAGACGTCCAGGGTGACCAACGCACGCAGTCGCTTGGTGGCTTTCGCAATTAAGGTATCCGGAATCCACTTCGAAAACATTTTCTCTGGAAGGCTTGGAATTAAATTTTACCAAGTATCGAGCTCCTCGTCTGTAGCCCATGAACAAGGTCATAACCCTAAATGTAGGAGGTTATCTGCTTTCTAGCTTGCGTAGAAACACTGTAACCACGAGGAGGTAGTGAACAAGACTTGCACATTAGATGCTTTAAGACAATCCGATACAGCATTTAGAGGGGGGGAGGGGACGGAAAATGAGGCCCGTCCCAATCCGGAGAGGGTAAATCGATTGCACGACCTGTTGAACAATTATTTAGAAAACAACAGACTCTATATCTGCCCAATTACTCAATGCAATTCCTCACACTTATCATGCTTGTCATCTTTTGAATCTCATGTGCAAAGTGGGCTATGCCGGAGCACCGAATTCCAACAGAGTGTATTGCGACAAACGCCAAACGTTAAAAACGGGTTATTCCGGCCAATCCATAGAAGTTTGCACACGCACGTTTTTTAGAATGGTGAATAGTCTAGCAACAGTTATCAAAGTATGGGACGTTTGGTTAAACTCATCCACCCCATTGTATAAACACAGAGCTCGTTCCAAAGGCAGAATCATTCCGTGCGCGCGCAGAAGCCGGTAGGAATGAGATAATACGCTCAATGTCGGAGTGCAGAGAACAGGCGAAAAATATCGGTATAGACTCACGTGTTTAGATACTGACGTAAACCATCGATTGCCTCGGTAATCTTTCGCTGAGCTTTGAGCATAGCAATCATACGCTTGCGTGCCAGCTGAAAAGAGCGCAAAGAAATAAACCATTGGCATGGCGACTGCATGTGGTGTAATGTGATAGGATGAATCAAACTCATGGAAGTACAAACCGAGCCATGGTAAAGCGTATTTCCTTCCATGTCGATTTGGCTCTAGCTGAACAAACTGAACAAATGATGATGCAATTATTGCAATTTACAAACCGGACAATGGTTCTCTTCTTTACTCGTACGAGCCAAACAGACAACGGGACGAGCGACCCAATAAAATTATATTCAGCAACACGATAAAATATCTTCCGAATGGAAGTTAAATGAACACTAAATTTGGGTCACCGGTTGTGCGAAATGGGCAATAGGAAAGGCGAGCATTGGCAATTCGTTGACCGTCAACGGCAGTTCAGATGATTAGTTATCAACATCTATTTTTAAAACATCAATGACAAAACAATAAGAGCAAGGTAGCAACAGCAGAATCATCATCATCATCAACAACAGCTGACGTACCGTATTCGTGGGATCTTCGTTCAACAGCTGTGTATAAACAGCATGAGCATCTTCGAATCTAAATGATGGATATCGAGAAACAAAGTTGCACTGAAGAAACAAAGCAGAACATTGGTGCAAACGAAAACAGATTAAGGACGTATAAACAAGTGGATACGCTTATGGAATGAAGGGAAATGAATCAATGGAAAGAACAGACAATAATCGCACAAATATCAGTTCACTTCTTTTCTAAATCAAACATCATCGGTGCACATGGTCAACTTTTATTAGGTATGATTTTACAAACAATGAAAGATTTTCCTCGAGCGAGTATTTTCATGCAAAAGCACCAGACATGATAGTGAACTATGATCAGTAAAAGGCCTGCACCAAACAATATTTGCATGCACAGACTAGGAGTTGTTGTTCTCTCATCGATTCGGTTATTCAATTTAGTCTGTGGGACCTCATGGATTTTATTCAATTCAACTCAGACAACCATTAATCATGCGCTTCCGCGTGACAGTTTCGTTTTTTTCAATTTCTCTAAAACACTTTTCATTCTCCCTTTGAAACTAGCCACATTTAATGAGCGCACTCTG